CTGGCACAGGTTGCCCAGAGAGGTGGTGGACTATCTATCCTCGGAGATATTCAAAAGCCATCTGGACGTGATCCTGGGCAACCTGGTCTAGGTAGCCCTGCTTGAGCAGGGGGGGTTGGGCAAGATGACCTCCAGAGGCCCCTTCCAACCTCAACCATTCTCTGATTCTGTTAATGTCTATGGCTCACAAAACTGCACAAGAAAGCCCCGTATTCTCACACCTGAGTAATTTAGTCTGGATTTCCAAGGCACATCACATAACTGTAATTTATCAAATGGAATTACTGTCCACTATTAACATTTTCTTTATGGACATAAACAAAATGGCAGTTGTTGATTTTTAGAAAGGTAAGCTTCTAAATTAAAAGATTAAAATTAAAAAGGAAACAAGGATTTATTTCCAATTTAAAATTTTGTGGCCTTTACACTTTTCAATGATATTAAAATACTGTATTACAGAGAATAAAGTGAGCTGTTGTTGAAGTTCAAAGCATATCCCATGACCTAAAAATCCTTCTGACAGAATTTGTTTGACATGCCTGTATTAGTTGCAAATTAAGCATGTAATTAAGTACTTTGGTGAATTAGAAAAGGGAATTGACAAATGGTATTTCATCTGAGCCAATAAAAAGCAGACTGCATTGACTGCAGTCTCGGGCGTGCCCAGACTAAAGGCTTCACCCTTCTTCAGAAGCTGAGGGCACTGTGCACAGACATTTGTGATTGCACAGGTGACTGCACCTCCGCTCGTGGCTACAACTAGCAGCACCTATTCTCCTGTCTCAGAGTTTAATGCAGATGGAGTTTTCCAATGCACCATGGGACTTATGCTTATTCCCATTTGAGTGAAACAGTAAGGAGTTTTACCCTGCTGTCAGATTAGCGATGTGCATTATGTTTGCCTTATCCACAACCAGACCTCCATGGACCCAGTGGGGTAAACAGATTCAAAATGGCCTAACTTAGTCACTGCCTGGTAAAGATCCCTGGGGTATGGGATGCTTGGAAAAGCGCTTGGACAGGCAGGGAGGCAAACTATCAGCTACAGGACCCAGGAGAGAAAGCACACAATAGATCTAGGGCAAAACACCAACTCCTTGTCACTGCAAAATCACAGCTGTCCAGCTGCAGAAGAGCTGGGTATGATCACAGATCCCAGCAGATTGAGACCTTCCAAGGAAGAATCATACCTGCTGGTCTTTCCCAGGGGACTTAAGTTACTAATGCCATTGCTTAATTAAATCCCATCTTCTGCACCTTCCTTTTCTTTGTACATGCTGGAAATTTGCTACCTTAGCTTACCTTCAGTAAGCATTAGTACTCACCAGTGAAAGCTTGGGTTCAACAAAGGTAGCTCCCAGATACTCAAAGTAAGATGCCAGTCCCTCATTAAGCCACAGATCATTCCACCAGTTCATTGTAACCAGATTTCCAAACCACTTAGAAAGAAAAAACATCTCAACATGTCTTTGGACTGCTGTTTTCATTTTTGCAGGTTAAACACACATATCTATGCTGAAGTAACTTTATTTAATGTGTACATGTCAATTGAATAAGATGCTGGATATTCCTTCAGATAGTGAAAATTCAGTAGAAAAAGATGAACCTTGGAAAAAGTCAGAGGTTCAGGGCAGTTGGTTTTTAGTTGTTTCATCTACAATTTTATACCTTGAGTATGGATGTCAGTGCTTTATATCATTCTTTTACTCTATTCATTTTAAACACTTCCCAATAAAATTTAAATATCTAAAAGATCATATCAGGCTATGATTGAAAGTAGGGCATTTATCAAGCAATTACAAAAACATTTTTGATGTTCTTAACAAAAGGAAATTGTCAGGGAAATGATAAACAGAACCAGGGAAATAACCATTTCCAAAATCAGCAAATCCCTATCCTGGCAAGCAATACAACTTCCACAACAGCTCCTACATAATCCTATTTGGCAGATCATATTTAACAAAAAACTGATCATTTGCAGATTTATATTTTATTTGTTAATTCTTAACAACTTGAACTACAGCCTTGTTTTAACATAGACTTTACTGACATTTGTTTTATCAGCCTGCAATAAAAACACTCTGCTCATCTGAAGGTCTGAAAAGTTACAGACCTTGTCAGAAGGGCATACAAGTGCACTAGCCAAGTTAAACTCTTTCACTAACGCTGTTGATTAAGCGCAAACAGTTGTTGCTCTGGCAAACAACAGTAAATTAAACATAGCCCATAAAAAAAATGAAACTGCATTATCATTCCAAACCAAGTAAGAAACAAATTGAAAATCTCTATGAAAACCAGACAAAGGTCCAGCTACAGCATAAAATGTATTCACATTGATTTTGTTCTATCATACCATAGTTTTTTCTTACAAAAAACCAAAATACCTTTTGCAATATGTACATCCACTGGCGCTACCAAAGAATACTCATGAAGTCCATTAATTCTCCCATGCAGTACTGAGTACACTGCATATAGAGAGCACTGTGTCAGCCCTATGTCCCTACAGTGTTTTCTAGCATGGCATTCAGGTACTGTGCAAGAAAAAAAATAAGCAACCCATTAACAGTTTTGCGTCAATGAGTTCTGTGCAGTCAGCATGCAGTCTGTAATATGATAGAACCTGCTTTTAATATTGATTTATTAGTGGAACATAGGATCAAACAGTCTTCCAGTACTCCAGTGCTCACACCTCCTACTGTCAAGTCACCATTTCTCTTCTACAGTGACTGCATCATCAGCATCTGGAAAGAAACTACCTCATAGACAAAAAAATATACAGAATTTTTTACCACATGCCTGGTGTCCTAGCTCATGTGACACAATTACGGCAATCATTGCCTTTCTGCTTGTGAATTTATCACTTGGGAGGTACATCAGTGATGATTCTTGGAAAGTCATTAGCCCCCAGTTTTCCATAGCACCTGCTCCAAAATCAGGCAGTGCAACCAGATCTAAATGGATTCAAACAGAGAAAGAAAAAGAAAAAAAACCTTTAAAATTTTTGGAAGTAAAATGCTCTCATGATTTTAATGCTCACACTGGTTCAGTGTGCGATTAAAGGATACTACATTTTAGTGGTTCTTTGTGATATTATGGCAACACTCTTGCAAATGGTCTCTGAAATTTCTTCTTGTCATACTTTTCATCTATGACTGCCATTCTTTCAGGGAGCCACATAAGAAATTCCTGCAAAGCCCAGATCTGCACTGTATCTTGTACATAGAAATATTTTGAACAAAAATGAAGGCTGTACTCTACCAATGCTAGGAGACAATATATTCGCTTCTGGTTCTCAGAAATCTCTCTGTATGAGTTTCTCAATGTGTTTGGGAAAGATCATGTTTACCGCTTTCTTCAGACTAGCAACTGATAAAAAAAAATCTTGCTCTTTCAGCTCTGTGAGTAGAGGGATCCTTTCCACTCTTGTTTGAAAGGTGACTTAGAAACATCATCTCTTTGTTTCCACAGTAGAGCTGTTACCTCTGTACTACCCTCCTGCCTTATGCACAGGGAGCAGTTTTCCAGTTCAAATGTGAGAGCTGGACGAAACATCAAGGATCTCAAAGACAGATACACTGTTTAAACTCAGCAGCAAAGAGCAAAATTTGGAAAAGATACACCGAGCATTTTGGGAGCAGACACAAGCTTGTACTCCAAACCAGCTGATCATGAGCCAGTTCCAGTCCCAAAGCTAGGCAGTAAATGTAAGCATGGTGCTGAACCCAAGCAAAACTAGACTGCATCTCAGCAGGGCTTACTGCCTCAGGCTTACAGCAAAGGCATTTCACTTTCGGTGAGGCAGTCCTCATCTAGCCAGCGTGGGGCAAGACAGTTCACTTATAACTGCATTAAAATCAGGTGAAGACAAACCCTTAAATACCCATTATTTTAAATAAGTTTGTTCTTCATTTCACATTTTGAGTTCACAATAGAAATCTCTAGCATTTACAAGGAGCTATTCTTGGTTGATCTAATCCTATTGATTTTTAAGCAAAACTTCAAAGAAAGTCATTGGGAAATGCAAATGGTATTGCAAGACGTTACAGTGGGGATTCTGTGAAACTGAGATTTACTTAACAGGAAGCCTGCAATACCATTCTTCTACCTCAATTTTGTAGTATTTTTATACTAATGAATTAATGTATTGACACTGCTGCTAAACAGAACACAAGTGTGAAACAGAGTCATCTACGGCCCTTGAGTAGCTTGTGTGATTACTAATATAACAAAATGTAATGAATGAAGACTGAGTATACTACCTTTTCCACAAGAAGTGTAGTGAGTAATTCTCAAGTTGTTCCAAATACACGGGGAGATAATACATTTACACAGATGAAAATTTATTTATTTCAAGTGCCAAAATAGATTTGACAAATCCACAAATTATCTGGTCTAGAAAGGAGGGAAAATCTTCTCCCACAGTCCTGCAATCTGCTAAGATCATAGGCAGCTCCAAAACTCATTTTAAATAAGAACTGCCTTCTGTGCTCTCAGTATCCTACCAATTTGTATAAAAGAGCACATTTCCCCATAATATTAATGCTGAAGCCCTTGGGAATCCAAGTACAAGAACCAGACAAACAGTACAGTGGAACTACATGACGGCACCCTTTTTTCTTGACTGAAGCTTCACTTAACTCACTTACCTGATGTCCATTTTAAGTAGAAACAATGTTTTCCTGCAGGAATTTTTTTTTCTGGGGAGGAATGTGCGGGAGCACTCAGTCAATTCACAGGTACGACGACAGGGGCATATTGAAGAGAGCAAGGAATGCTTTGGGGAGACATGGGTTATGGCAAGCATGGATTTATTAAGAGGATGTACTGACAACAACATCCTTGCCTGGTATAGTCTATGCATCCCAGAAATAGCCATGTGACTGAACAACTCCTTTCTATCCATTTTGCAGCCCCATTTGCCCCTTTATTAGGAAAGGATGCTTTAAAAGAATGAGAGGGATGTAAAGTAAGAGTGCTGAGGCATAGGCTGATAAGAGCCATGATGCAGAAAGGCAAATTCAGTGAGTTAAAGCTTAGGGGTTTTTTCTTCCATAAATGTGGTAAGCTGTAAAAAGAGAATACTGCAAAAGAACCCACTGCTTCTGTGAATATTACACCAGCAGCAGCCATTTCTGGTCCATTTAAGAAAATAAGTAATATCTCACCTGTCTTTGGCAGAGGGTAGCTGACATTAAGTAAGTCTTCCAGAAATGAAAATATTGGGCCTGTGATATTTAAAGCATAGTCAACATACCCGTTTTTAACTGCCTCTTTCCGAGCCCAAATACGTATCTGCAATAAAACGAGGAAGTGTTATTTTACACAAACCTCTGATTTTCATTTTCTTTGCTTCTCTTCTGTGAATCATTGTTTGAAAATGCTGTCTGTCCACACCAGAACATGCAATGAAGCTTTTAATGAAAAAAATATCCAACTCAAGTTTTGCTGGACCTAACAAAATGTGGCACAGTGCCTAATCCTCCTAAAATCTAGGAGAGTTCCAGCACTTCAAAAGGGCCAAGACTTGAATCCATCTACACATTGCTGGAATAAACGGACACTTTTATTAAACGGAAAATGCTGTAAAACTATTTGAAGTCACACATCTTAAGCCAATGCATTCCAGCCAGTGAATATGGGTGACAAACTTTCCTTCAGACCACCACTATTTCCCTGAAGAGAGAGAAATGGATGTTCAGAGTGTGTCTGCTGCCTGAACATACACATCTCTCCTCCTGAACTTTCTCACAGCATGAAACAAACCACTGGCCTCTCAGTGCTGTTGGAAACAGCAGATGACATCTGAGCAGATGATATTCAAGCAGATGACATCTGTACTTCTGAATAACGGAGACAGCAGCAGCAAGCAAAGCTTTCCCCTCCCATGCCCATTTGCTCTGTCACAGTACTGACGAGGGCAGCTGTTTGCCCAAGGTGATGGAGCAGACTGAGACTTTATGTATCTCTGTATCTCTGGATGCAAGACCCTTCCCAGGAGCCTAGCAGCTCAAAGCCCCCACATTTATTGCATCTAAATGCAATACATGGCCTCACAAGGAGCTGCACAGCCAAAAGCTAAGAGCACAGTTGGGAAGCATCAGGATTTTATTTACAAGGGAAAAAATAAAGTCAACAGAGTATCTCAGCCTCTGAGCCCCTCTTCTCAGCCAAGGCTTCAGAGGAGATTCAAAGACCAGATCACTTCACTTTGCAAAACTTAAACACAATGGGCAGACTTAAAATCCTACTTCTAGTATGCGCTTTGAGTTATAATGACACTGTTTCGGGTTGTAAATTACTTACCAGCAATGACAAAATGGACACAACGAACATGCTCACACAAACACTGTGGAGGCACAAATTGAGCAACTCTGTCTGAAATCAAAGGGTGAAATACCGTCTCCCCTCTATCTCACAGATCATGGGTGGTGCCACTTCCCTCTGAAAAATGCTGGTTTGAATGCTTAGCTTTGCTGACTCCTGTCAATACACATCAGCCCAAGAAAATCGCACCAGTCAGAGCCGTAAGCATCCAACATGTTCTATACAGTGGATGGCAGGTATGATCTTGTGGTGGGTTGACCCTGTCTGGAGGCCAGGTGCCCCCCAAAGCTGCTCTATCACTGCCTTCGTCAGCTGGGCAGGGGAGAGAAAATATAACGAAAGGCTCCTGGGTTGAGATCAGGACAGGGAGAGATCACTCACCAATTACCGCCATGGGAAAAACAGACTCAACTTCGGAAAAAATTCATCTAATTTATTACCAAACAAATCAGAGTAGGATAATGAGAAATAAAATCAAATCTTAAAACACCTCCCCCCAACCCTCCCTGCTTCCCAGGCCCAACTTCACTCCCCATTTCTCTCCCTCCTCCCCCCCAGCGGCACAGGGGGACGGGGAATGGGGGTTGGGGTCAGTTCCTCACATGCTGTCTCTGCCGCTCCTTCCTCCTCAGGGGGAGGACTCCTCACACTC